GACCCAAGTGTGTTAAAACAAAGTTGTTTTAAGCATTCATAATGTTATTGAAACAGTCGCTGGTCATAGTGATATTCTGTTTGGTCACATGGCTCTGGTTTGTAAACCACGTCAGTCCTTTTTGGTGCCCAACATGGGGCATTTGCAAAAGATCTAGTAAAATAAGTTAACTATTTGTGTAATGTTTTTCCACTGACCTTTGAGAGGACTTTGGTTAGCCAGTGACCAGTAATTAGAGTTGTCCAGCTTGAAACCCCAATTTTTCAGGTTGTCTGCTTTCTGATGGCAGAGTGAAGTGTTCCAAACCTAACGTTCATTTTTTCCCTTCCAAAATACTCTGCTTAAGAGCTTTATTACATTTGTGAAACTGATGTGTGGTATCTCTTGCATCTGTCTTGTAAGCCTAACGGATTTAGCAATGAATATGCTAAAAACTTAAAGTATGAGAATTTTATGTTACTGAGCAAGTGGTGTTTTTTCCAGGAGACTAAGCAGACTATTCCAAACTTTTGTTAGGAAGCTGTTACGTTTTGTGGTCTCTGAAATTGGGTGACTCTTTTAGGTCCAGAAGATTTCTATGGCTTCTGTTGGAGTAAGCCATACATAACAGTAGGTCTGGTAATCTATGGGTTACCTGAGAATGAGTGGGATTATCAAAATCAGTGATACCATTCTGGCTTTTGTTTGACTCTGCAGTGAACCAGTTCAGCTTGATAAACCACCAGTGCTTTATTTTTTTCTGCTAGGCTAGTCTTCTGTCAGTTTAGCAAGTGAATGGTGCAGTGCTGGGTCAGATGACTGCAGTTCCCACAGGTTATGAGAGTAGAAGGTCTCCTATTCACAGCAGTGAGTCATTAAATTAAGTAAATTTGGTTGTCTTACGAAACACTGATATTGCAGCTATGAAGGCAGATATCTGATAGCTATGGGAGACTACACAAGTGACCATAAGTTAATGTGATCATACATGCTTGTGTTTTTCAGTCATCTCACTAAAAAGCTTTTGCTTGTCAGTCAAGTTAGGATTGTTATCTTTTCCTCAAAACCATGTTTCCTTGTCTTGATAGCTGCGTTCATTTGGACTGATAGTATCCATGTGTCTTGATTAAGCTGGAGAATAGCACCAGCGTTGCATTTCTGGGTATTCATAAAACCTTGTTTTAATCTTCTCAGGTACCAATAATAAAACTTACTGACCAGGAGACAGAAGTGAAAGTTGACATCAGTTTTAATGTAGAAACTGGTGTGAAGGCAGCTCGATTTATCAAGGAATACATGAAGGTATCAGCCATAATAATGAATGTTATACTACTTACCAAGGATGTGCTAGATGCTTAGCTAACCTTTTTTGGTATGGCTTAAGACTTTTGAAAATTTATTGCTGAAGACTATTTTCATTAATACTAAACATGGATATTTTAACTTATTTTCTACTGGTACCTATTCAGTGTTGCCTTCAAGTACTAGGTGTTTGTGTGGATAAACCTGTACACTGAAAGGACTTATGCAATCATATCTACATCTGCAGATAGGTACTAACACTTGCTTCTAAAGCAAGTCTGCTCAAGTTTTGCTTACCTTGAATTTGTGATGCTTGATTATGAATACTATGTTGCTAACCAATGTCTAAAAACAATTCTTCTGTAGCTGCATACTTAAAATCAAGTTTACTTTTATCCTCTGCAGTAAAAGTACTGTTTAGATGGAAAGCTTTGACTATAATGAGTGACACTGGCATTCAAAGAAGGATATAAAAATCTTCCTGTTTAGGGGGGGAAATAAATTTGATATGTAAGCTGTTTGATCAAATAAGAATTGAATTCTGTTCATCTGTTTCTAGAATAAAAAATATGTATGCTTCAGTTCTAGCTGTGGAAACACTTTATAGCATACTACTGAATAACATTTTTGTATTAGAAGATGACTCTTCTTGTGTTGGGATTGTGCAGTTCTTCGTTTTGGAATGTTGACATTGTCATTGATAAGACTTATTTTGCTTTGCAGAAATACTCTTTGCTGCCTTACTTGATTTTAGTATTAAAACAGTTCCTCCTTCAGAGGGACTTGAATGAAGTTTTTACTGGTGGAATTAGCTCTTACAGCCTAATTTTAATGGCAATTAGTTTCCTGCAGGTAAGTCTGTTCCTTATTTGTTTGTGTTCTTTAAAATATTTTGGTTTCTGTACTTATGCCCTGTTATAGTGCCCTTTCTTTAGACTCACCCCCCCCTCTCCCCCCCAGTGATGTACAGCTTTACTGTTATGGCTCTAGGTGTTTGATCATTGGCAGCTCCTATGGACTACCTCTGAAACATGTAAGAACTGCTGTTCACTGTGTGAACTGAAACAGCAGCAGGAGCCTTGTGAATGGCATAGAGGCTGTGCATTGCTTTCTATACTAGGATCTGTGATGTGGAATATGTTACCTTCCTGGGCAGCCTGTTCCAGTACCTGAATCATCTTACTGGTGTTTTGTAAATCTGCCAGGATGCAGTTTAAGTCTGTTGCTTCCTAGGCTAGTGATACTGAATGTGCAGAGTAGTTGATTTCAGTATTTATTAAAATTATGAAATCAAACAGTCAAGTTGTTTTTTAATTATATGTTGGATAGACTTTGACATACTTAAAACCAGCAGATGTTGTAGGTAACTGATGAAATAGCTAATGAGTTATATCTTCTTTCAATACAATTTTGTGACAGTAAGCTTTGTATGAGTATGGCGAGGTACAATGTTAGTGTTTTTCAGCAGCTGTGATAATGGGAAAACCTACATATTTTGCTGCTGTTAATGTTTAACTGAAATATTACCATATATTTTACATACCGTATATAATATGGGGATATTGAGAAAAGAGCTCTGTTTTAATTGGGGTAAATAGATTCCTCCTTCCTTCCCTCCCCCTGCTTCTGAAACCATTAAGACTGATGGATTTTCTGTGAAAAATCAGGTATTACTCTTTTACTAAACTGTAATCTAGTATGCAGTTCTTTTGGCTTGGGGAAAAGAATTTACTAATCCTCAAAAAGCTGGAAGAGGAGGGAAGAAAGAATTCTTTGGCTTCCAGATACTGCTGAAGTGCTGCCCCCTCTTGGTTATGTGAAAGTAGTTTAAGTGCATGAAGAACTAATGACTCTGTTCAGACTTTTGAAAAGAGATTATACTCAACTGTTTAAATGAGAGCTTTTTTTGTTGCACTATGTTATGGTCCGAAAAACATTAATTTTTAGTAATTAACAACTGTTCTGTGTCATAGCTGCATCCAAGAATTGATGCCAGAAGAGCTGATGAAAACCTTGGAATGCTTCTGATAGAATTTTTTGAACTCTATGGAAGGAATTTTAACTACTTGAAAACTGGTATTAGAATAAAAAATGGAGGTGCCTATATTGCCAAAGAAGAAATCATGAAAGTCATGACTAATGGATACAGACCATCCATGCTATGTATTGAAGATCCTCTCCTGCCTGGTAAGATTGTACGCTTCTTGCAATATTCCAGAGCTCTGGCTCAACTTATGCTCACTCACAGCTTACGTTAGAGTTCCTAAAGTCTGCCAAATGAGTTAAGAAGCTGCACTGAGAAGAGACAGTTGCTGGTGTCTAAGTACAGTTACGGAGATGGGCTAAGGGATAAGGACCTGAAGGTCTCCCAAGATTCATAGCCTGAGTAAATCAGATTGCCTGTAAACAGTGCAGATAGATAATGCATTGGATATTCAGAACTGTGTTGAGTGTATAATAAAATTCTCTTAACAGTGCTAAGGGGTAGCGAAAGAAAGAGGTCCTGAAAATCCTGGAAGGGAGTTTTATTAGTAGGAACAGCTCTCCATTGTTCTATATGAGAATGGAAGGTGTAGCTTTTTCCGCCACAGTGTGTGACGCCATGCTTCAGATAAATTGTACTGTATGGGAAAGAAATGCTCCAGATGAGGTACCTGTCCTGCAGGGCGGTGCAGTAGAGACTGCACAGAAACATGGGTGTGTATCCGTGGATGTGTAGCAAGGGAGCAGCTGTATTATGGCGATGGTGAGAAGGGTGGTTTGCATAACTGGCTTCTGTGCTGCACAGGGCCATTTAAAGAATGCCAGTTATAATTGCATGTGCTTTTGAAGGTAACTTAAAATACTTTTTTCCTTTAAGATTTGGTTTTGATTCAGTAACCTTCAAAGTAATCAAGATTAATTTTGGCTGAGCTCCTGAAAAAAATTTCCAGCTTTATAGTACTCAGTTTGGATTCTATTTAGACTGTCACAAGTAGCTGAAATCCCCAAACAGCTTTGTAACAAAGTCAATTTTCAGTTAATTTGTACTTCAGCATTAATATTTCTAGAATGTAATTGGCACTCAAACTCCATACTGTCATGTATTGTGGGTAGACTGCTTATGTATAGCACTTCTAAAGCAAATACCATGGATCAGGAGCTGAAGTCTGGCACCTTTCTAAATACTCAATATGCTGAATGTTCGTAGTTCTCTAGAACAGGTTGCAAGCTAAGATACTCATTTGTCAAACCACATCTCTGATATGTTTGTAGCTCTTGGTTTGTGTCCATCATGACTGTTGCACTTGGCCAGGCATAGCTGTGAGTTGGCAGAACTTTTATTGCATTATTGAGATTTCCTTCAATAGCTGTGTACTTACTTGCCTGAAGACCCATTTGAGTAGCAGCATAAGCCATGTTTCTTGAGTCAAAAACCTTTACTGTGGCCTCCAGTTCTGTTCCTTCCAATGTGCTGAGGACTGAAAGAGAAGTTGCATATGCTGCACAGTGTTTTAATCACAGCTAATAGTGTTTGGATTTTTTTCTTCAGAGAAGGAAAAAAATAAGTTGCAAGTCCAGTAGGGGCTCTGAACTGTTCCTCCTAGCATAAATCGTGCTGAAGCAAAGAACTATAGTTTAGAAGAAACATATCTAATTATATGCTGTCAGAGAGTTGATAAGAATTAAATTTAGGTGAGGTGAGGTTATATGGGCTGAGATAATGTAATTCTTACAGGAGAGAAAGTGTTTTGGCAAGGGAAATGAAAGCTGATGATAACTTGGTTATCTGACCACTGTGTCCCATAGGGATATTTTATGGCAGCTACAACAAAGCTTCAGAACTAGGAGGAAAATTATATAGAACATATAGGATGGCTCTTTGAATTGGATCTCATGAATGCAGCTTCCTTAGATCTAGACTTAATCGCATATTCCTGCGGTATCTAAAAGTACCTGTCAAGTGTATGTAGGTGACGTCTAGAATTCTGTTAATTATTTTAGTTCTGTTACTGCTTGTGTTCCAGTACAAAAAAACTCTTCCAAGGGTTCTGGTCCTTGTCCAGTTGACAAGTCATCATCTCTGCTTGATTAGTTTGTTGTCAGATCCAGTCAGTGTCTAACTCCTTAAGGGTCAGTGTCAGTACTGTGGAGGAGGTGGGAATGAGTATTTTGGTAAAGAGTGGACACAGATGTTTATTGACTTAAGTTAGCATAAGCTGCTGTAGAGTTTTTCCCTCAAACCTGTTTTTGCACTGTATACACAAGTTTTTAATCTTGTTTTTTGTGATCTTTTTTAGCCTGATCACAGCTTTCTCTAAAGTTCTAGTTAAGCTGTGGAAGAAGACTTTGAAAGGTGCCTTCTTAATCCAGAAATCAGATTAAAAAATACAGAGATGGAAAAAAACCCCTTTCAGTTTCTCAAGATTATCCAAGTAGTGTAAAGGTCTGTCCGATGTGCGTATGCAGTAGCTCAGCAATAGGATGCTGAAAGGTACAACTCATAAGAATAGCTTTAGACAGTCTTGTAGGGGACAGGATTAAGTTCAGTGGGATTAGTTCTTTAAAGTTGGAGGAGCTGTTTTTTCTTCAGTGTGAAATAGTGATGTCTGGCTAACAGATAAATGATGTAATCAGAAGGATATGATACTTCAGTTCTACCTGCTCAGTACCTTCTCTTAGTTCCTAGATTTGGAAGGAACAGGCATCAACCTGTTGGGTTGATGTTTTGGTCATAGTGGGTTTTGCTCAGATTCTCCTGGGTGCTGTAGGGTTTCCTCTGAGATTCTAAAAGACTGATTATTGGGTGCTAGAGGATTATAGTATCCGGATTTGAAATGTCAGACTAATCGAGCCAGTGATGCATTTTAAAGTAGTAGTTTATACTTGATCTTCATATGTACCTTAAAATTCTTCATCTAGTTAGTGTCATAGGACAGGGTAATGAGATGAAAATCTTTCCCTTAGCATCATCCAAAGAAGGGAGTTTCTATAAACATCTTGTAGCTGCCACCATTTCAGTGTCTCAAAGTAGTTGTCCTTTCTTTGATCTGTAAAAAGTCAAAGCATTCATTTAGGAGCACTGCAAAGCTAGGCACTCAGAAGTTTGTTCGCAGGAACATGTTGGATCAACGTAGATGATATCATCCAAGAAGAGGTTTGTGCGGTGTTGGTGTAGCAGTATTCTGTCTTGGAAGACATGACTCTGCAGGTGACAGATCTTTAATCTGTGGTAAAACAGAGTTGGCATTTATTCAGCAGATTGTTAGGGAAGCTTATTATTTTATGCCTTTGTGAATCACGTGGTTATCAAGGTCCTTCAGTCATTTCTGATTCTCAGAACAGTAATGATTTTGATCTTGGTTCAGACTGGCAGCAGCAAGAGTAGCTAAATCACTGGTTAAGACTTGGAGTTCCACCTGCACAGCTCCCTTCATGCAAGGTTGTTCTTCATTCTGAATTGCTACATGCACTAACAAAAATTCTAAACCTTAAATTCAATGCATTTTCTTTGAAAAGAGACTCTTTAACTTGCAGGACTAATTACGCTTTGTTTGCTTGTTTCTGCATCTTGATGGGTCACAAATACAGGAAGTAATGAGATTTCGAGATTGGCAGCAACTATTGAGATTATCTGTTCTAGCCTTAGTGGCTGCCCAAAGTCAGTCATTGCAGCTTTTCAATATCTGATATTTGTCATTAGAACCTGCAAATATATGTGTGTGTATATAAAACATTCATTTATAAAAATACACAGATACATTGAAGTTAGCATCTGAAAAAGCCTCTTTAATGCTGAATGTTGCAAAAAGGTGCTTACCTAATAATAGCTTAACATAAATGGATCTGCTTCAGTCCTAGCTCATGGTCTTACCTTTACCTTTCCAGGCCATGTTTTTGAAACTGCTTCAGGTAATGGAGGGCTACCTGTCGGAGTGGTAATGCTGACAGCGAGTGATAGAAATCTTAGACCTGCTCCTTTAGGGAATGAATGCTTTGTAAGAAAAAATGAGGATTGAATTATACATGAAATCACACACCATTGTTACCTACTAATATACGTCTGAGGATTGAAGTCTATGATTTTTTTTAAAGAGTGAGAGCATTTGGGTTACGTGCTTTAACTGATCAGTCTGTAGATTGTGACAAAAGAAGGATGCTCAGGTATGTAAGACATGACCTGCTAATGAGAATGATCTCTTAGAAAAAAAAATCTATTCAAGACAGCAACTGCAAGTATGTCATGTTCTGGCTTCTTTAAGTTGCTTTTGGGAGTGAGTAGGGCCACCTCTATACAGACCTGACAGGTACACTTCACAGTGGCTTGTGTAGTAGCTTTGGCTTCCATACCTGCTTTTCAGCTGCAGTGCAAGCCAGAAGCTCTGCAGACTGTATAATTGAATAAGACTTGTTTATTCAGACATTTTTATGAACTAATTACAGGTGCAGAATGAGGCAATCCAGGAACCTAGGCATGCTATGGCATGAGCTATCCTGCCTCTGTTCTCAAATCTGCTTCAATCAAGACTCATACACAACTTCGTTGGTGGTTTAAACTAAACTGCCTGAGTTTGCCGTAAGTGGATTAGGGAAGGATCATGATTTCTTTTGTTGGCACAACAGTGGAGGTGGCAACAACTGACACAAGGAGTAACCGACAGTTTGTAGCAGCAGTGTCTTCATTTTGGTGTAACTCCATGCAGGATGTGTATCAAATGTAGCTTCCTTAGCACTGGATTAGACTAATGCAATTTGTATAAGTATGTATTCCTGTTCTGTGAATTTACAGAATCATTTAGGTTGGAAAAGACTCTTAAGATCATCAAGTCCAACCATACATAGACATGAATTTAGGTACAATTGTGGGGTTTTAGCCATTTATATACATTCGATCTCTGTATTGCTTCTCAATTTAATTCTCTTTTGTATATATGTTTAGCATGTCATTATGTAGAAGACACTATCATTGCAGGACATGACAATGTGTCCTGCCCCTGGAAAACCTGTACTGAATTAATCATTGTTCTTCTAGTAGAATTAACATTTTTTGTATTTTGAGTTCTTGACCACTGAAATACCTTGGTCTATTCAGCTGCCTTTGGACCAAGTCCTTTGTGAAGGCCTCTGCTACTTTATAGTATAGCTCTGAACTTAACTACGATGTGTTTATTCCTAGATTCACTGTTCTAGGCCCACATTGGTCTCTGCTTCAGGATGGAGTCCAATTGTAAATATGCCATTTAGAGAGGCTTCTGTAATTTTGAGCCTAGTAGCTGCTGGATACTGCAGTGGTGCATTCAGAACAAGATACTCAGTTACTTCAGTAAGCAGGAAGTATTTCTTGATAAGTTTTTATTTGACCATGTAAATTACTGAAGAAATTCTGTGTTCCCAAAATAGTCTTATGTTCCCAGTCTGTTTTCATTGATTATGTTTTTCTGTTGAAGTGGCATTATGGTTGGAGAATCTTGGACTAAAATGTGTTGTCAAGTAATAAAGCTAAGGCTGTTTTTTTCCCCTGGATGGCAGACCTCAGCATATTTGTCTATAACGGCTTGCTGGACAAAATACTTCAGCGAGTGAAGGGTACCTCTGAAGTCAAATTCAGCCTCATTGGATTCAGTCCTCCAAAGGATAGATCCTGTCCTTTACCCATCAATTTTCAAAGCAGATTTTTCATTAAAACCTGTTCATGGGCCCTGATCTGATTTTCAAGCTTAAAATAAACGTGTTTGGTGGTTCATCCCTTTCCAGTGTTCTCACAGCATTTCAAGCATCATTCTGAAGGAGGGAACCATTTACTGTAAGCAGCTTTCTACCCACTCAAGATCTAGTCTGTATTTTAGACATGTAATTCGAAGCAAGTTTTCTTGTGTTTCTTAAATGGAGTGATGACAGTGAACCTTTTGGTGTCTGGTGCCACATACATCTACAAAAAACCTCAAAAGTTTCTTCTTGCTAGTAATAGTAGGATCTTTCTAGCTGTCAAGTGGGAGACCAATGCTTGTACATTGTCACTGATACAGAAGCATTAGCATGTTCTCCTGGAGTTCCTTGCACATGGCACTGGAATTGGAAGGAGTTCTGCTATAAATGTTACTCATGCTTAAAGAGAGGCACTCAAGAAGTGCCACTAACTTGATCAAAGAACAATGCTGTACAAACTTCTGGAATCCTCTATGACAGTTTTTTATGAAGTGGTTTATCCTGTGGAGATAAATAATCTGTATGAGCTGATTTATTAATCTGTAGTTTTGATAAGGTTAAGTAGTGGTTGATGTAAGTATACCTGTCCTCATGAAGATAATGTGCTTGCACAAGTGGAATTTTAAGCGGAATTTGGCCTACAGAAAATCTACTGGTAAGTGAGACATGCTTTAAGCTTGGAAGGTTCCCCTCTTAATACAGCTGTAAGAGCTTTAAGCTGATCTCTATTTCTTTCAGGCGCTGGCACATCAGTATTTTAAAAGTGGTAAATTGAATGCGTAATGTTAAGTGTCATTCCTAAGGTTAGCCTCTTTTGTTGAGATAGGCACACTTAGTTGTTCCTGATATGAGTAGGATGAGTTAACCAGTTTAAACAGAGTTAAGCTGTATTGTTAAGGTTTCTGAGCTTTAAGTATGAATAATTTTCTGGTTACTGATATTAAAAAAAGATGATCTGATGATTGTCACATTATTTCAGGAAACGACGTTGGCAGAAGTTCTTACGGTGCCATGCAAGTGAAACAAGTTTTTGATTATGCCTACATTGTTCTTAGCCATGCAGTATCACCACTTGCAAGATCATATCCAAATAGAGATTCTGAGAGGTAATTAGTCCACTTTTTGAATATCCATTTGTCTGTGTAATCAATTAGGAATGTTTGGGTCTAAATCAATAAAAGGAATATTGTTATTTAATGTTTAACTGCGGCTGTATTGAAATCTGCCCAGAAATTTAGGCTGCCCAGTGGTATGAGCGTGACACCTTAATGTGCAGCATTGAAATGAAGACAGCATGAGAACACCCAGGATGAGTGCAATATGAGGTTCTCTTAGTGTGAAAGGGAGCCAGAAGATAATTGGTCTTTCCTTAAACAGTCTGCTTAAAGTATTTCAAAGGAAGGTCTGCTGGTTTAATGTTGGTTATGATGTATGTCTCTACAATGGCAGAAAGAACTGTGTGTGATCAAATTGCTTGTTTAGACACAAAACTACACAACAAGGCAAAAAATTTCCCTAGCTCTTTAATACATACTCCCATAAGCTGTTTTAAAAGGCTTGATATGTAATTAAGCTATTAAAAGACTCAGTTCAGTTTGACTGTAATGTCAGAACTGCCATTAAAAGTAGCATACTTCTAGATGTGCCATTTTTAATGCAGTTCTTAATGTCTGTCTTAGAAACCCAGTACAAATGGTACTTTCTCAGCTCTCACCTCTGCTAGTTTTCTGTTTTTTGAAAGGGGGAGGAGACAGAAAATAAAGACGTCAGCCACATTGTGTTTTCACTCATGTATCTGCTCTAGCATCTGTTGTTACTCTTGGTACAAATTGGGGCTAGATCAGAGGATGTCTCTTCCCTGAGACTTCACTAGAATCCCAGTGGCTTTGAGCTGCCCAGCTAATCTCAGGGAGGGATGACTGTAACAAGTCACATAAACCATCTAGATAAAATTCTAAACTCAAAGTTAACAGTCAAACTGTTAGCTTCCAGCATTAACATCATTGGAAGGTGAAATAGTTCTCCTATAGTAAGTTTACCACAAAGCAGACGTGGTCTTTCACTTGTGGATTTAAGACTGACAGTATTTTAATAGTGCCCACGAATCTCTAGGTTTTCTGTGGTACTAAATTCACGAAGATTGAGACTGCATTCATGGAGATACAGGAGGAACGGTACATAGTGTTACACACTGACATTTGAGACTCCTGTTTTAAGACAGATTAAAGGTGTATCTGTTTAAATGTGTACTGGCTGACAGTTGTTGCTGAATGAAACTTAATTCTTACATAAGTATAGATAGAACAACTTAGGGATTCCTGAAGTTTTATTTCTGTCTTGGGTTCTGGCCTTTGTAAACTTCTCAGTAGTTCTCCAAAGGATCTAGTCATTCTCTTATGAGGTACCTGTATTATTGCAGACATCAAAAGTAATGTGTAAATATGTATAATGGAAGCCTCAGATGTCATCAGTATGTGCACTTCACATGTACACTTACTGTAGTTGGGAAAATGTTTAAATTTTGTCACAATTTCAAATGCGGGGAGAAGTCCCAGCAGCAGTGTTCAGGTGTTCTACATCTGATCTGTCTTTCTGCTAGTGATGTCTGAGTCTCAGAACTCATCATGCTGTTCTGTCAAAGGGAGTGGTGTCGCAAGAGGAACAGCATTCAACAAAGTCCTATATGCAAATAGTTTCCCCAACACCAGTCTTGTCAATGCCAAAGGACCTGTAGGTGGATGATGTGGTATAGGTGGAGGTGTTTGATAACAAGCTTGTTGCAGAACTTCAACAGCAGTCCACGTTCAGTCTCAGTTTTCATTTAAACCTGATGTCCTTGGGTAATCCAGGTATATTTCAGATTCTTCTTCCGCTTGTTAGGCAGAGTGATCCAGGCTCTGTATAAGGACTTTTCTAGTGGCCTGATCTACAGCCTCAGTCATCTAGGAGCCCTTTGTCCTGGTCCATGTCTTCCCTTTTCTAGGCTTTTTAGTGGTAGGTTAAACTGTAAACAATGGGGTCCCTTTAAGAGCAGCAACTAGCTATATGACCTGCTAGAAGGATCAACAGAAACTAAATGAAGAGCACTTGAAAGGGTAGGAACTTGCAGGAGGCTGAACTTCCCAGGCTCACTGGAGTTTATTCAGTTTTGTCATAAATTTGGACTAGTTTTCCTCTCAGTGGAACAGTTTGTTCTTGAACTACCTAGTGGGTTTGAATTCATATCAAGTCTTTCCAGGGAAAAATTCTGTGTACAGAGTCCTATTTTGTAGATGACAATCTCAGTGGATTTCAAATCTTTCTGGGTGATCATCGTTACCGCTCTTTTTCAGGGTCAGTCCAACTCAAAGGAGCACAAGCCTAAGTTAACGTAAGGCGTTCTAGCCAGTCGCTGCTTCTGATATTTCCAGTGTGAAAAGAGAGTCAGATTTTGGTCCTTCAGCATCGGCCTTTTTCTTGCCCACATTCTGTAGTAAGTCCCACAGAATGATAAGGGGTATCAAATCACTCTTACCAGCCTCTTCATGCAAGCTTCTGAATATAATATCTGGAGTGTAGTGGGAGTTGGAAGCTGTCTTCTGTTGGAGTGAAAACAATAATCACCTGAGTCCTGAAGGTAATTCTTACAGCTACAGAAATTACCTTAACACTGTTTTGTCCCCAACCTGTCTCACCCGTCCTCTTTCAAGAATGACTCAGGAAAGGTTCATGGTTCAGTAGATTTTGTTAGAGCAAACAGATTCCCATTATCTTGGAAGGAGAGGTTTTCCTAGCAGGAAAATGAGGAGACTGATCCATTTTTGAATCTGTACAACTTGCACTCAAGGTCAGGTTTGGTGTTGTGACTTCAGCCAAGGTGATTGAAAATCATGTTTGATTTCTTAATATTTTGGACCGGAGGGACATGAGTCTAGCTGTAAAACATAGTTATGGATAGAATAGCTCCTTTGTAAGGATCAGTGTCAGTATGTGCTTTGAGTAGCTTAGGTATACTCTTTGGCCATAACCTGTCTCTAGAGAAGAGTGTGTCATCTTAAGTGAGCCAACTGAAGAAGTTTGTAAGGAGTGATGTTTTTCATAGAATCATTTAGGTTGGAAAAGACTTTTAAGATCAAGTCCAGCCGTTAACCTAACACTGCCAAGTCCACCACTAAACCGTGTCCCTGAGTGCCACATCTACATGTCGTTAAACACCTCCAGAGATGGTGACTCAACCACTTCCCTGGGCAGCCTGTTCCAATGCTTGACAACCCTTCTGGTGAAGAAATTTTTCCTAATACCCAATCTAAACCTGACCTGGCACAACTGGAGGCCGTTTCCTCTTGTCCTATTGCTTGTTACTTGGGAAGAGAGACAACCCAACCTGGCTACAACCTCCTTTCAGGTAGTTGTGGAGAGTGGTAAGGTCTCCCCTCAGCCTCCTTTTCTTCAGGCTAAACAACTCCGTTCCCTCAGCTGCCCTTCACAAGGCTTGCTCTCCAGACCCTTCACCAGCTTCGTTGCTCTTTGGACATGAAGCTTCAACTTAGTGACCATTTTCCCAGTTACATTCTGTTTCTTGATAAACCACAGGAAACCTTAGCAGATATTTCTTTCTCACTGATTCGTGTTCTTTAAAATAGTGGACTCTGTTACTACCCTGTACGTAGACTCTATATTAAGGTGCAATTTCATATTATACCTTGTCTAGCCTAACTGTCTGTGGGCTATCTCATATCAGCTGCCCTTTTTCTTCCTTCTCAGTCTGTATGTTTCAGACACTTGCCTTGGATCAGATCTAGCAATCCTGCAGTCAGAATGTGAGTCAGATGAACTTTCTGGTCTGACTGAAAACAAATACGTCAACACTTCTGTCATGTCAAGAAGTGATGGATAGATCAAAAGCAAGAGAAGCAGCAGGAGTTTGTGTTTGCGGGAAGGTGGAGAGAGTGATATTGTACCATTTAACAGCCTTAAGTTATGCTGATATGGATGTGACAAAAATGCATCCTTAAGTTAATACTTAGATCTGTAGATCAGGATGTTGGCTTACTCGTTGGCCTGTCGCATGGTTCAGTTACAAATGTGTGCTAAGACTGCATCTCTAAACAGCAGTGTAGCTACATTTTGGAGGCAGTCGAGGTCATATGAAATGAGCAATGGAAGACTGGTTGTGCTGTGATGTGCCCTTCCAGTATAACTAAGACTTCTGGAACCTTTCTTCAGTTCCTAGAATTGCAGGTTGATAACAGGTTGCTCCTTATTTGTGCCAGACGTGTGGTGCAGGTGGATGAGGGAAAGGAACTGTCATGCCAACAGACCAGAGTTTGAGGAAGCTTTGGCAGGGTTTTGCTGTGGCACATCTGGAGTTGTCATTTACAGGTGGTAATCTTCAAAACAACAGTAGTCTGGGCCATACATAAAGTGATCTTTCCATCTCTGTGCTTTAAAACTGTTTGGTCTCTTCCTAGTATACAATTCAACTGATCTAACTGCTGACAGGCCTATATGACAGGGTTTGGGTTGCCCCTGGTTGGCCATGATAGTCCTGGGAGCTCTGGGAGCTGTCAAGGAGAATGTTAAATTTGCCTGCTAGATCTGCTGACATAGAAAGTAGAAATATGCTGTCTGAAACAGTCCTTCCTTTCCTTCACATCTTGAATGGTAGGTGGCTGTCACTAGAATGCATGCTGTCTCTTAAGAGAGGTATCAGCAATATCAGCTTTTCCTATACAGAGTGTTTGTCTGGGTAAAGGTTTTGAATTTTTTATCCTCATGCTCAAGCAGATCCTTCTCAGGTGCTCCTTAGTCTGCTTTTTAGATTATATTTCCCTTCCAATACCAGTGAGATATTTCGTAAGTTCAGTTAAGGCCTACTGAACAGTTAATTTGACTGACTTTCACAGACTAGATGTTTTTTTCCTGGTGTGGTACTTACTCGTTCATGTGGAACTTGGCTGAAGCTTTAGCTATTTGATTTTACTGAATCTTATGTCAGCAATCTGAGCCTTTTAAGAGTGATTTTAAGATTTATTTGCACCATAGTTGTGCTTAATGACAGCTAAAAAATATCCCTGTGAACTGAGGGCTTGCAGTGTGTTTAAAAAAACCCCAACTTCTAAACTCTTATCATAAAATAAACTAGGTATGTAAATAGCTTATTCCTGGTTTTACTATATGATAATACTAAGGAGAAAAAAATCTTAACAGGGCATCTTTCATAGGAGAGCGGTCTAATTTTATTAACCAGTTAACTGTGTTTTTTCCATGTCTTCCAAACAAGCATCTTTGAAGAATTGTGGGAGTGTCTTGTGTAGAAATTCTGGCCTCAACCAAAAAAACCCCATGGAAGTGTGGAATTTCCTCATACTAAAGGCAGGGCAGATTAATAGGGTTTTTGTTCCTAAGCATTTTCAGTGTTGAAAACAGATATAAACACAATTTTAGAATGTTTATTTAAAAAAAATTATTCTCTGACCCATGGATGTGCTTGAGTCCCATACGTATGAAATGATGTTCTTTGAGAGCAGTATCTAGTTTGATCACACTTCCACATTTTTTGCTGCTATATTAAGTATATGGCAGTATAGCCTTAATCACCTTTCAGTTTCTGATGTCTCATAATGAATGTTTTTAATTTTGGTGTACCAGCAATGTAGCATGGATCTGCCTTTGAACCCCATACCTGATAACTTAGTGATTTCCTCCCCACGCCCCCGCTCTTTCTGCCAAAAATGAGAGTTTGTTCTCTGTGACAGGAGATAGTGAGAGAATTTCCAGGTGAGATCTCAGGTTCTGTATGTCAACTCTGCCATAATTGTTGGTGTAGCAGTAGTTTCACTCTTTACACCTATTTGAAAGCAGGCATTTTTTGGTATATCAGTCACCCAGGCTGATAAAAATACTATCCTGTACAATTCATTTTCCTTGTATATGAAGGCATGACTATTGATTTGCTTCTGGGAAAGTTCTCCGAGAAGCTTCAGACTTGACAAACTCCTCCATAAGAGATTGTGTTCATTTTCTGGTTCTAAGACCACATATAGTAGTAGTTGTTCTGAAATTTATGGGTTATCCTGGAATAAAAGCTCAGATCTTTCTGAAGACATTCTCAGATGAAACATTTTAGCTGCAAGATTTCCTTCTCTGTCCCAGTGCTGAAGAGACCCAGGATGTGGATGTTTGAGTCCTGTCCTGGCATTGCTGTCTTGGGAACTGCAACTTCAGGGCCACAGCTGAATCTCTGCAGTATTGGCCATCCTTGTCTTCATTCTGTCTTTTCTGGCTTAACTTCCTTTTTGAGACTGAGAAACCAGAACTGCATCAAGCATTTAAAATGCTGCTGTGTCATGGGAGTGTACATTGACAAAATACTATCCTCTGTTTTATTTGTTCCTTTCTTAATGTGCTCTACTTAGCTGTTGGACTGTTGTTTGCAAAGAATTACCTATTACAAACCAGATCCTTAGTTGCTGAGTGGTGACAATCACGCCTTTAATTCTACATATAAAATTTGAGATTTTATTTTCCAGCAGGCATAATTTTATTTGTTACATAAATAAAATGGTGGATGATGTTCATTCTGTCTGTGAGGCCCTTCTGCACCTATTTGGCTTGTAACTTAGATGATACTATTTGATTCAATGTTTGCTTAAAATGCTGGACTGCCTTCTTCAGTACTAATACACTGACATGGCTTTAAAGTTGGAAGACTAAACATGGAACATCTGGTATTTGGTGTTGCATGAAGTAGTAATCGCTAAGCCAGTAGGAGAATTATTGCTTCTTTTTAAAGTGTTACTATGAAATGATCTAATAAAGGCAGTCTAAATGCATTTAGGCTATATATGTTTTCCCTTCCCATTATACACCTAAACCAAAAGAAAAATCTGGTACAGGTACAATGTGCCTTTGATGTGAAATTCAAAATAAGCTTTATTATAACTGTTGAAGATTTTCAAAACTAAAATAACGTTACCTTCTCTGAGATGGTAACTTTTCACAGCCCATTTTTGTACAATAGTCAGTCCCTCATGTATCTTGAGTGTGGAGTTTATAGTTAGTGTTTCAGCCCCTAGTCCCTGATGAAAGGAAAGCTTGAAAGTTTAGCTCTCAAACAAGGGCACAACTCCTGCTCAAGAAGTACAATTCAAATAGCTGAATGTTGGGAAGGTATGTTGGAAAAACATTACTTTGTACTTGTTGATAACTGGTCACTGTGCAGCAGGACCAGGTAGGCTTTTTCTCTGAACGACTTACTGTAATGAATTTTCTTAAATTCTAATGTATTCTGGTTTTGGAGCCAGTCTGTTTCTTGTTTTCACTACCTCACGATCCATGGTACTTCCTTTATAATTGTGGGGATCTTACACCTTTTAAGTTGTTTTGTGAATCTGTGAGCAAGGACTAGCGAAGGTCTCTGTCTTCAGTGTGAAGGTCAGCTGGGATATTAATGTCTTCAGTACATCCCATAACTGTTGTAATCCAGATTCTGTGGGGGAAAAAATATATTCTGCATGGAGAAATGTAAGAACGTGTAAATTCCTACTATCAAGTACACTGGTATCTGCATGTACATTCTTGATAACTAAGATGCACTCCATTTAGAAATACAAAGTGTTACCGATGTGTCAGCGCTTGCATGTTAGTATGGTAGAAAAGTAATATACTAATTTAAAAATTGTGATATTCCAGTGGATTAAATGGTGTGCTAAGAAAATGAAAGTTCAAAAGGATTCTTTGGTTCGGGATATCTTAAATTGTCTTGTAGCATAATTTGATTGCTTGTTGAAATGCTTGCAAGTATGTAACTAACAGTCTTTGTTTAATATTTAATTGAAAATTTTTTTTAGCACACTAGGTAGAATCATCAAAGTGACCCAAGAAGTGATTGACTACAGGGCTTGGATTAAAAAGAAGTGGGGGAGCAAAATTAATTTATCACCTGAACTTGGTAGGTATAGCAGGAATCTTTGACACCAACTTAAATTTTTTTCTTGAATCTGATATAATTCAAAATACTCATGCCTTGAAATGAATCATTCAGATATGTATGGAAAAAAATAAAACGAATTTGTAACTTTCTAACCCAAGACTAGTTTTCTTTGAGCCTGTTTTTCAATTAGCTTGTTAAACTGCAGCTCTTCTTAGACTTCAAGGCCCGTGTGTTTGTATTCTGTGCTCTTAAATGATGCTTATGTTTTCTGTTAACAGATAATAGGTTGAAAATAAGAGACCAGATAACTCCATGCAATGGAGAACAGCAACAGAATAGAGACTCTGAACCATCTTACAACCAACGCTTGGCTTTGTCTTTGGCTAGTACGCAACAGTTATCCTCTGGCTCATCTGCCTCTTCTGTATCATCACTCTCCGGCAGTGACATTGTAAGCTTTTTCTTTTAATGAATTAAACTAATAACAAGCAGAGTTTATCATATTCTTCAAAGCCTCAACTGATATAACAGCAGTTAATGTGATACTATCCCTAAGCTGCTACAGCACATGAATAGCTTCCCCTGCTCAGAAAAAAGTACTGAAATTTAATATTTTTTCATTAAATTAAATGGGTCTTAATTCCATCCTAAATATTTGGTACTCTTTGTAGTAGTAGTTAGATGTAATAAAAGATAAAAGCCCAAGTTAATAGTAGTTAATTAAGTAGAAGAATGGAAATACATCTTCATAAATCTTCCCATCAAGCAAAATCTCCCACTGTCAAATTCTGGTCCTTTTTCCCCACACCCCAAATTGAACATGAACATCATGTTGTGCTGTGAAGGTGATTAATATTTCTTACTATTTTCAGCCAAGCAGTTAGTTAATGTTTTAATGGTAATGGGGCCTTCATATGTAAAATCTTGATGTCAGCTTCCTTCTTTGAAAGTGCAGTTTGAAAGTAATTGTTGGGTTTTACTGTAACTTCCTGCAAGAGGAGGCTGTATTCTCCTTAGGTATGTTCCCAGACCCTTAAGATTCTATAAAGTGTTTTTATTTCAGTAGGGAGTTAAATCAACATGGAATTAGGTAATGCAGATTATAAAGCATGAAATTGCATTACATGGCATGAGGTGCTCATTATAAATCTACAGAAGCATTCTGTGCTAGGTAGAGGCATTGACTGGAATAAGATGTAATATCCAGTTAACTACAACAGTGAATAACTGAATGATGCCAAGAGAGGTCCAAGTACCCCTTTCTTGACTGTTTTCAAAATCTAGTCAAATATGGAATTAAAAGTTAAGAATTGTATTCAATAAAAATTTGGTAACTTGAGGGACGAGTACCTTCTTTATATGTTCTGGTTACTTTCTGTAATTCCTTTACGCTACTGAATTTTCTGTGTTGAATTGTCTTTTCATTCCACCTCCAGTAAATATGGTGGAAGTTTTAGTTGCACCATCTGGCCAATGGAAAAAGAACAGCATGATGCTTACCAGTGATACTACTAGCCATGCTCCTGGTTTGAGTATGTCAGTGAAAAAGATTTTGCTGTAATAAGTCTTATGAGAAAATGCAAATATCTGCTTAAGATTCGTGCACTCCCATCATAATGGGTGGTGAGAGGTTATGACCTCCCCTTAGTCCCTTTTTGCCTGATGTTAAAGATGCAACTTCGTTGCCTGATGTTAGAGAAATTAATGAAAAATGAAAAAGCAGCTCTCTAAGACCTGCAGTCAGTTTGGGCATGCACAAAGTAAATGGAAATGCTACCCTTTTTAACAAAATAAAAAGCCTTATGCCCATGTGCTTGTGACAGACCCTAGTTTAAGCCCTGGTCATTTATTGGTATTGTGTCCTTAGTAGACTGCCAGCATGTTATTTTAATTTGGAATGGAATGGCATGGCAGCTTTCTGACAAATAACTGATGAGTTCATCCTACTTACACTTGGATATGTGAGGATGAGCAAGTTCTGGGTGAGCAGTCCTGAGCTGCATCTGATTCAGGAAGAGAAACCTATTCTGCTGGAGTTGAAGAGGTTATCTGTGGCATGATGGGGCATGATACTATGCCCAGGTTCCAGCAAAGGAACATCTAGCATGTGTGACAACTGCTATTTGTGCCAAAACTTCTGATGCATTGCAAATAGGTATGATAAAGTGAACTTTGGTACTAGCTTCAGGGGAATATGAATATGGTGCATCTCATCACTGTAGTGTTAGCTCTGATCTTGTGGAAGGATTTTTCTTCAGGAATGTTTATATATTCATTTAAACTTAAATCTTTTGAGCTTCTCTGATACTGAAGACTGAAAGCAAGGTACAGATTATAAAGAAAATGCAGGAGGCAGAGAGATCCTAGATTGAATTTGCTGCTCTCTTCCCAATAAATAAGGTTTTATTTCAATAGCAAACTACTCATCCCTATGATGTCACTGTTAACCTTAAGCACAAGATCTGTGTCATGTTTCTGGACATGTATTTTGCATGACTGCATAATATCTTTTGCTGTGTATCAACTGCAAGATCCTAGCTGTCTTAAGTCCAGAGGAACTGGACAGTATATTTGCTTTTCAATTTACTGCTACAGTTTCGCTAGTAATAGTGATCAGCTGCACCTTGACCTTTCTGAGATCTGCCCACCAATATAATAGCAGTCAGCTTATATGCCTTGAGGAAAAGGAAATAGGCTTGGCAACTTGTGACTTTACTTGATTGTATTGCTCCTCTCTGAACTTCAGCTTCTACTGAAGTTTAACTATTCCACCCATCCACTCTAGCACAGAGGTAGCTATATTCTGAAGTCATTTCATCACTGTACACTGGCATAAGTCTGGAGGCCTTGCATATATTTGTCACTATGTCCTGGAAGCAGTATTGGCAGTATATATTAAGTATGCAAGCATTATCAAAGCAATGTAGTATTGCTCATAGGGATCCTAGAATTTTTGTTAAACCCTGTAGTTTAATAGTTCATTGTAACAGTAGTTAGTTTGGTTGTAATACAGCATGCTGTATGGTTTTTAAAGATTTGCTTCCTTGAAGTTCTAGCAGCGTTACAGATTTTGCCTTATAGTTGGTAAATGTAGCTCAGCAGCTGAATAGATAAGGCTCCTGGTGTCTTGGACTTATGACTGCTTTCAGAGATAGCAATGGTTATAGATCTGTTCCAGCAGCAGGAGAACAGGTGTCAAATAGAACAATAAAAAGGAGCAGGTTTTTCTGGAGACTGGATTGGCATAAATCAGAGCTAACATTTAGAAGTCAGCCTCAACTTTTGTACATACTCAGATAAATGGAAGTATAGGGATATAAGACCTTAAAGTTACTACCCTGAGTTCTTTCTGTTCCTGCTACTACTTTCCTTCCTTTGGGGACCATACCAATAGTAACCTTTTGAAGATGAGAACTTATATACCACTGAGGAACAAGAGAACTGCCTCCTTCAAGGACGCCTTCTCTTTTCCCCATGTGTTTTAGATGTTTTTCCTCAGTACACCGGCTCAAATTCAGGAGGATGATTGCTTTCATCTCTGCATGTCCAAGACTAGCTTGCATGGCAACACACTTCTGGGTCACTGTCTGCACAGCCCAAAATCCAAGAACTGGATCTAATGAGACTTTAAATAACAATTTGTACAAAAAGTATCCTTTTATGGATTTTCTAAGGCAGCAAAGCTACTCACAAAATGCCTTATGCTAGTGCTGGCTGATGAAATTTTAGTTGTGCTGTCTTTTATTAAGGGTCCTAGCAAACTGGAAAATCTTAGTCACAAAAGAAGGCTTTTGTAAGGACTGGTAAATTTTGGATCAAAGACTGTGTGGAAGAGAAATCTGTCTTCTGGTATCACTATTACTGTTAGTGAGATAGCTGTTCAGTTTATGGGATTGTCTTACTTTACATGTCAACATAGAGCTCTGACTCTCTCACTGGCACTTCTAATGTAGTTCCTTGCAAAATACTGATTACTAAAGTTCCTGCCCTGTTACTTCAGCTCTGTGAAGAATATAAACATTAGTGGTCAGGAGCAAACCGAGGAACACATGGAAATAAACATATGGATACAAGGAATCTGATCATCAAAATGTATTCAACTGCACATACATTTTTCTGGAATTCTGTTAATTATCAAACTGATCTCTGTAGTAAGTCTTTTCTCAATGAAGTATTCTGCTGGGCAGCTATTTAAAATACCATATGCTGCCCTGACAAAAAGGTGGTATGTATTCTTCACTTACTCGTGCAAACAGGTAAGTTGCAAAATACTACGCATTCCCACATGATCCAACAAATGTTGATGTGAATAATGGAAGATGCTTTATAAATATCTTTGCCACCAAGGACAGTGCAAAGTCTGTGAGTTTTTACTGTATGGGAGCAAGAGTCAAACTGTTCTGCAATAGAAAATAAGCGTCTGACATCGGGAAATCTCACTTTAAACTTTATATTGAGTTAAGTGATTGTTTTGAGGATCTGAAACCAGATGAAATGAGCTATGTTCACCCCCAGCTCTCTGCTTGTTCTGGCTAGTTGCAGATGTCAGTCTGAGAACCTAAGTGGTAACCAAATTCCTTTTGAAAATGTCTTTTTTTTTCCTGGGTGCTTTTTTGTTCTGGACCTGCACTCTGTAACTGGTGACCTGGATTTCTTGTTGCTTAAGCATTGTGGAAAGCTGCTTTTTATTAGCTCATTAGCTTTTTATTAGCTTTATTAGTCTGGTATAATTTTTGGTGCTAAGTATGCTCCACAGTTTTGATGTTATTATGCCAGATAAAGCATAGCATTTTATGTGACAGTGATACCTGCATATCAGGAACAGATGTAATGGCTCATAGGAAAGTTTAAAACCTCTTTTCTGCTACCTAATGGATATATAATCTCAGATCCAGTCCAGCACAGAATCTCAAAGTTGTCTGTTAGAAGTTTGGATGTAAGAAATTTCATACAACTTATCTCAGTGTTTCTGGTGATAATATTCTTTGGGGTTCTATGATGAGGTTATTTTGTGAAGAGTTCTGACTTCTCAAGACCATGCAGTCATGTCAAGGTAGCTGAAGTATCAGTGAACAATGTACCTGTGTAGTCTAGTTTGGAGGAGAACGCAATCCTTGCCTCTATTTAACTTCTTAGCATTTACAATATGTTCTTTCAGACTGTTCTTGACATTTTAGCTGTAGCCATTGCTGTTCAGGCTTTATAACAACCTTTCATTAGAATATCAGTGTTTGATCTGCCCACCTTTCTTCCCCCATCAGTTAGAGGATACGCCCATCGGTACCTTAAGTGTTTAATGGAATGTGTCTTTTCACTGTATTGAAGTGTGATGTGTTCAGTACTTTGATCGGCTGCTTACATTGTGAGAGCAGTATATAAATATGACTGATAAGACTAATACTCATTATTCCTATCATTCTGTTGAATACATATAAGATACACGCTGACTTT